AACATTTGAGGAGTAAAATTTTCATTTAGAATATTTAAAATCGTTTTAAAAATTAGAATCATTTGGAAAGGGAGAGAGAAAAAGAAAAATCAGTTCGACGTTCGTGGAACGAATTACCAAAGTTACCTCTTCATCTACGGCCCTCTGTTTTGCCTTTCGAGGTGTGGTGGAACGTCGACAACTTTGACAACGGTTTCTAATCCACGTACACGCCGAGAAATGAAATTTTCACACGACATGCCGTTCCTCCCTACCTCGAATTGCTAAACGAATTCGAAATTGTGTCGCAGCTTTGTTCAAAGAACCTATATATACATATATATATATGTATATATAAGAACGCGTGTATTGGAACGTGTCTGGATTACGCGAGATTAATCGTTGAGAAGGTTGTGGCAAGATTGTGGAGACTATCTGCGGTTCTTTGCCTAGGTATGCTGCAATTTTGCAGTTTAATGGAAATGAGAAATTTTGCTCTCTATAGGGAGACCATAATTAATTTCTCAGTACTTGCAACGTTTAAACGATATAAATTGAAAATTAATTATTTTGAGAAAGAAAGAATTCTTGTAATTAATGTAAGGATGTGTGTAAACTTTGATATAAATTTATTAGATCGAAATATTAGATAGAAGAGAATTAAAAGAGTTGGAAGCTAAACGAATCGTTTGTAGAAATTATTTTTAATATAATAATAATAAAGTTCCTCTAAGTCTTTCACACGTTTGAGATTAAATATTTTATAAAATTCGTTCAAAATTCTTACAATCTTGCAAAATATTTGCCAATAATCACATTAGAAAAATAAAAATAACTGCTGTAATTTTGAAAAGAGAAGAGAGAGAAACGAAGATGAAGAGCAATAGAAAATAAAACTTTCGTCATCATTCCATCCACGAAAAAGGATTTATTTCCATGGAATCGAACGTCGAATCGTTTCTATCTTTCGAGTGTCTTTTTCGACACACATCTGACAACTTTTTTTTATAACGAAACCAAAGCAAACCGTATAAACAAGATTTACAAAAAATACAAGTTCAAAAATAGAAATGAAAATTTATAAGCTTTTTATAATCCATCAACGAAATGTAAAAACGTCCAAGCGTCCCAAATCCTCGTCGGTCGTTCCCCAAAATCCCATTCTTCCATCTCCCTTTCCTTCCAGCATCCGGTATTAACCACCCAAGGGAAGTCTTTGGATAACGCAGGTTCCACACACACACACACACATATACACACGCATATATACTCACTGCGCAAGTTATCTCAGGAAGCACTCGCATGATACCGGTTGTTGCAAGTACGACTGGAAACGAGGTGCAAAACAAAAGCGGTTTAAGCGGAAGAAAGAGGGAGGGAGAGAGAGAGAGAAAGAGAGAGAGGATGTCTGGGAGGGTGGATCGATGGTGAAAACAAAAACGGCCTCTGCCCGTGGAAGCTCGGATAGCTTGGTGACGTTGGAATGTTTTATAACGGGTGGACCGAGCGTTTTCTTCGTCCCTTGGTGTTCCCTTCTCGCCTTTCTTCTTCGTCTCCGTTTTATTTTCCTTTTTTTTTTCTTTTTTTTTTCTTTTTTTTGGACAAAAACGACGCCAGATTCAGGAATGGCCGCGATTGTTACGGCGGCGACAAAAGTTTAGGTAAAACGGAAGGGACCCACGATCTCGCGGATTTCTTTCCACGATTTTTTCCCCCGATTAAACGCGCCTCTCAATTGTCAACCCTCGAAAAAAACAAGGGTTCTCCTTGGTTAGCAGTGTATGATATTCGTGCATTGATCAGAGAAAGAAGAAGGTACGAGGTGTAATTGTTAAAGGTAGGATGAATAAAGGAGATTGTGGAGATGGAGGAATTAATTGAATTAATGTATGTTCATAGGGAGATTAAATTGATCGTGCGGTAACCTTGATGAAATTTTAATAAGTAGGCTACAGATTAAGTAAAGATTTATTTCATTTCGAAGAATTTAAAGTCTTCGATGTACTCTCATTGAAATCGTAATTTATCTTAAAACTCGATTAAATCTTATTAAAATTAAGAAACCTTTGAATATATAATTCTGAAGATGGTTCCTCTTTAAAATTCCTTTTGATAATTCATGTAAAGCGAAAGATAATTATTAATCCTTTATCACCTTCGTTTTTGTTGTCTATTCCAATCTGACAGACACAATTTCTGAAGAAAGAGTGACGATTCCAGGAAAAAATATGGATTACAATTAAAATAAACGCTATAGATTGAATCTTCGCATTCTCGATTGAGAATAAAGAATAAAGAATAATCTTCTTCTATTTTCGTAGTTTCTCCCGTTTGCCATTTCGATCAACTACGCAATTATCCAAACGAGAATCGGTAAAAAAAAAACTTTGCAAGATCTCACTTCCATGGCTCCCAGGCTCATTTGCATTCGACGAATCGACGATCTAAAACTTCAGCGAAGGCGCAAATTTCGAAAACGGCAATAGCAAGTTTTTCTTCCAAACCAGACTCCTCCCTTTCTTCCCCTCCCTCGTCCCCCATTCCGATGGCAAGTTTACGAGCGGAGGAATTCCGCCCCGTCAATACTGTATTAGCCCACGATAAGTTTAAGCCATTTGAATCCCGGGCCAGGGTTACCTAGCCGACCGTCGCAACTTTAATGGCTCGCAGATTTACACGGGTAGAAACTTTGTTACAGGGCCGAGTGAAAAGCTCGAGGCATTCGACTCTGTCTCCGACCGAAACGAATTTCTGATTTCGCACACGTACCAACTTGCAAGAGTTTCTCTCCCGTTATTCTAATCTGTTAAAGCATTGAGAGCGTTAAAATAGCTTCACGGAAACATATTTTATTTTCGTTTACGTCGAACTTGATAATTTTACTCGAAAGAGCTTTTATAAAAATGTGAAAAACAAAAAAATGACGAATACGTATAGGGATAAGAAAGTCGATAAGAAGTTTAAATTATCGCATGTAGTAAAATACGTGAATGCATATATTATAATAAGATTTTCAAAATTAACAAAATTGCAATATGAACGTCGATCGACGAATTCTTACTCTTTCGAAGTAAAGCGATGAAATTTGGTCTTTATTGGTTCAATAAAATTCACGATAAGCGCCGCAACAGAAATGAAAAATCCATTGAAAAGAATTATTATAAAAAAAATAGAAAAAAGAAAGAAATTCTAAAAATTGCCAGATTGATTTTCGAGAATTGGAATTCGAATTGGAATTTCACTCGTTATTACATTTCTATTTCATATCGAATATCGCAAAGTGAGATGTATTTATGCGATCTATAAACTTGTAAAATATGGATTCGAATACGTTTCTGCTACGTTAAAGTTCGCGAGCCTGTAAAATTTCAACGATTATTATATCGGCGCTTAGCGGCCGATAACGAGTGGCACGAAATCAGTTTCATGGATCCCTCTCTGTGATTCAAACGAATTTAAATCCCATCCCATCCGTTAAATATCGGTTTAACGACATTATCGACCGACTGCCGTATTTCCTGTGCAATCAGATCCGGCTTTATGCATCAGCATATTTAATCGCGCGACGACGACGACGTTACGTTAATTAATATGTTTGCTGATAACGTATTAATCTGTCGTTAAATATCGGCCGGCCAAGAATTAACGTGTGATACAAATTGTCGTTTGATAATTTGTAACTCGTTCATCAAACGTGTTACTTTGTTAATTGTTAAAGAAAGGCAAACTGTGATATATATATTTCTCTAATTGATTCAATTATCAATTGAATTAGGAAGTAAAAAGAAAATTTTTTTATCAAATTATTGAATATCTTCTTGTAAGAATTATTTTTTCTTTCAAGTATTTCGTCGTATTATTGGTTTTTATTTACTTTAAACAAAGAAAAAGTTAAAATGTTGTATGTCTGGCGTCCAGAGGATTAATCTTTCACAACATTCGAGTTTGGCAGGAATCCCGAAAGAACTTTAAATCTGCTGATCACGTGAAAGTTTTGCAACGTCACCTCGCTCTAATCGGCTGATTCTCGTTAATCTTCGATTCTTTTATTTACTTTGGAAAAAATATATCGAATCCTTTGTTAAATCTGTTGAATCTGTTTGCGAGATTAAAATATCGATATATGCATTCGTTATCAAATTTCGTTTTCTATTAATCCAACAATATTGATCATATTGACACAGCTATTTTATAAAATATTTTAATAAAAATTCACTTTCGAAGTAAATAAACGATTCGAAATTACTGAGTGAAAAACAAGAATTCTTTGACGATATTTTTTTTGACATAGTAATTGTATGATACATTTCTTTCAAAATTACAGAAACGCGGTTTCTGGATCATTTTTCTTTTATGAATATAAACTTGGTCAAACTAGTTCGAAACTGCAAGAAGATCAGACTTTTATAAAACCAATAAATATATAAAAATATATTTAAGTTCTAAAAATACATCAATTCGAATAGCTCTTACTTTGATTACTTTGATTAAATATTTTCATTCTCGTATAATTTATCATGAAATTACATTTTTTAATTCAAATCCAAAAATTTCTAACACCAGTCACGATTACTTATAACCCCTCTTTAAGATTGTTATCTCCTTTAAATAATTTTAATATCCTCCCAATTTACAATTTTCACTTCAAAACGAATTAAAATCGCACAACTCCCACCCTGTTATTCACCTATAAAAAACAAATCCCCATCCAATATTTCTCACAAACTTTACTTACCACTTTTTCACCTTTAACCTACTTCTCTTAACCACCTTTCACACCTTTAACTCTACTTTCTCTTATTCATTTGAAAACAATTACACGATCACATCCACTACGTATCTCGAACTTCCACTACTTATCGATCACAACTTTCCAATCCCTTCTCCTTTTACCTCGCGATTACGTTCGACATTGCAAACCATTCACCTTTCTTCCTTCTCGCAACCGAGATAAATCCACGAACATATCCCCTTTAATGAATAATCATGAACAATTAACCAGACCGGTGTTTCGTTTCCAGGCCTTGGTATATCGGGACGGGAATCTGGTGTCGGGCTCGTTGGAAGCCCTGGTGCAGCATATGGTGCCCACCGAGGAATATTATCCCGATCGAGCTTACCTCTTCGCCTTTTTGCTGAGCGCCAGGCTCTTCATCAAGCCGCACGAGCTTCTGGGCGAGGTCTGCGCCCTCTGCGAGCATCAGCAAAACCTGAATGGAGAGGGTGGCAAGGTGAGGCCACACGAATCCTCCTCCTCCACCCTCCTCCTCCTCCCCCACAAAAGCCCAACGAGAGCCTTCCGGGCGTGCACTTTACGGCCACCGCGTGCATTATCGTTTCATCGTCTCGAGGCAGGCTCGACCCCCTTTTCGCATTCACCCCCTCGGAGAATCAGCCTGGCACGCCCGCTCTCGTTCCGCGTTGTAATAATGAGCACGCGTATTCAGGCCAGAAATGTCTCCCTGGCAAATGAATTTCCACCTCCACGATTTTTCCTTTCCCGATTTGTTGTTTCTTTATCTGGCAATATCCTCTTTGATTTTATGTGTATATATATATTTTTTTTTCGTTTCTTTTCTCCTTTGATTTTTGTTGGGGGTTGGAATGTCTGATAATTGGAATTCGTAACGCGTTTCTCTACTTTCTGTTCTCCTGTTTTTCTCAAGTTTCTTTCTCTGTTTTTCCATGTAGTTCTTCGGACACTTTTGTAATTGCGATTTTAATTTATTTCATTTGATTAATATAACGTTTTATACATACATGCAGGATTATGTTTTCGAAATTCTGATTCATTTCTGAAAAATTTTTTTTTATAGCTATTCCTTTGTAGTCTCTAATGAATCCTATTCTTTCCATTTTTCACTTCTTTAAAGAGTTAAGTTTTAGAAAATTTTGATTATAAAGAAAAGATTCCATCACTTATACCATATTTCCCTTCGAAACCTTAAATTAATCCTATTCTTTAATCTTCCAGGAAAATTTTAAAAAATCTCAAACGATTCGTGTAGCAAAAATTTCCTCGCTCCTTTCATCCTCCCCCCTTGGTTAAACCTTCGAGAAATCCAATTACCAAAAATTCTCAAACATTCATTTCGTTCAAATTCTCTTCTCTTCCTTTTCAATCCCTCAAAAGTTTCGAAAAATTCCAAAGGATACGTTTCACAAAACTTATATCATCCACTATTAGACCCTTCGAAATACCAAAAATTCTCAAGTATCCATTTTATTCTCCCTCTCTCTCTCTCTCTCTTTCTCTCTTTCTCTTCCTCTCTGCTTCCAATCCCCTCTCGTCTAAAATTTGTTTCTTCTCGCGTAGAAAATAATAAAAAATGAAAGAAAAAAGGATGCACAGATTTGGAAACTGTGTTTCCAGGAACGTCTGCAACGTTTCGTGCCGCGACTGGTACAACTGCTCGCCGAATGGACGGAAACATTCCCGTACGACTTCCGGGACGAGAGGGTGATGAGCCACGTCAGGTCCATCACGCAGAAGGTCGCTGCGGTCGACGCTGCGGCCAGGCAGGAAGTTTCGGCATTGCTGCAAAACTTGCTCCTCAGACTGACGGCCCTCGAGAGGTACGAGGAGGGTCTGGCCAGGCTGGCGACCGAGGCAACGACGGAGCAACTCGCCCAGGTTCGTATAATAAATATGTAGGATAATGGATCGAGTTGAATAACGTTGCGCCAGTTTGGAATTGAAATATGGACGGATTTATTTTGATAATTTTAATTACAGGTTATAGAATTATCGAGTATGTTGCGACAATTCTCTCTCGTATCGTTGATTATTTTGTTGGTAATATCGGGTGTTCTTTTTGAGATAAATAAAGCAATAATGGAACGATTAGTGGATATGTCTTCTCTCGAGAGATCACAAATCTTTCGTCACTATTTGAATTTCTTCGTTCTTGGAATGTTAAGTTTTAAGTTTTGATATAGAATTTCAAAGATGGAATTAGAAGATCGTGGGATTTATTATTTAACATAGTAATTAATATCGAGTTAATTCGATATATTCGATTTGACTCTAAGATTCTAGGAGATTTGACGATTTATTTTGAGGATGAGAAATTTAATTTAAGATTGAAAAGTTTTGAAAAAGTTCCGGTTTGATCGTAACTTTGATAAGGAAGTTCTAATTCGGGATGAAGGAAACGAAGAAAGTTAATGTAATTTTTTAATCAAAAATCACTTGTTATAAATAGATAGGGAGATGAGGGATGAATAGTTGAAATTAGTTCAAGAAATTGAAAACTACTAGAAAACTTCTTTCTTAAAAAGAAGAAAACGTAAATAATCTACATTTTATAATTTATTTTATCAATAGAAATTTCTATAGCGTAATATATCTATTGAACTATTGGACTACGCTAAATTCATATCCAGATATTTATACAAGATCCAATTATCTAAATCATGAATTCGATTATTTAACCATCGAGAGTTTGTGGTATAATGAACCGATAATATTCTGTCTATTCGGTACACGCTCGACCCGCCTTCTGTTCGTTTCGTGTACCAATTCCATTCTCGGTAACACAAGGTCCTTGTTTCCGTTTAAATGGCTCGCCCATGTCCTTTGTGTTTATATCGATACGAACGCACTTCTGCCATTTGCATCGCAGGCAACACACATCTGTTACGGTTTACCCAATCGTGTGCAAATGTTTGCATAAGGCGTTTCCCACAAACAATCCGGGCCATCCTCTCGAAATTCCGGTTAAACCTTGAATTTATAAAATATAAAATTATATTATATCATATATATTACGTATACACTACTTTAACTTCGAAATTAAATACGAAAAACTAAAACGAATATCGATTGATAATGATATAGAAATTTTTTGCGCGATGTATCTCCTAACTTTGGCTATCTTCAAGAAAGTTTCCTCGAAATTCAATCATCGAGAATTCATTGAGAAGAATCGTCAAAATTTCAAAAATTTTACAATTCCAAAAAGGAGTGCACAAGCTCAAAGTGAAATTTTTACGACTCTCCGCAACGGGGAAAAAAAAAAAAAAAAAAGCACCGTATTTTCTCCACCGAGAAATACTACTAAAAATAGCTTCCTTTCTCGGAAGCTATCGACCGATTCTCCGTCGAACTCGATTTTCCAGGCCACGGTTCCTCCCCCTCCTCCCTCGACACGCGTTTTCAATATTTTCCCCGGCACCGATAACGTCCCCGAGGGATCCGCGGTGATTTCACCCCATGCATCATCCCTGTTTATACCCGTGTTACACCCGCTAATGCACGCGTTCTCTCGCCCTCTTGCACGCGCGCGCGGTCCCGTAAACGTGTACACAGGCGTAGCAAGCGTCGTATCCGCGCGCACTTTGCGCAGTTAGGCTAACAGGGTTACGTACTTCCCCTCCCCATCCCGACACTGGAGACAGTAACTATTCCGTTTAATTTGATTACGCTACGCCTATCTGCCACCGTGTGCAACACCTACTAATAGCTAATTTGCAACTGCATTAGTTGGTTAAATATGGCCGAGTATCGTGGTGCTACGTGGTGGCTAATCAGGGTGGAATTGCGCAGGTGGAAGGGCGCAGACCGCCGCGTGCCTCATCGATGATGATCGCGCGGTACGAGAAATTACGCGCGTCCAACACCGATTGTTTCGTTGCGCGAGTGCAGCTTCCGTTCCGGAAACAGGGGGTTTCCGGGGATACATGAACCGACGTCGAATTCCTGGTTACTCCGCGTACGTACGTTCCATGTATCAGGGGATACGTCTCAATTCTCGATTAATGAGATTTGTTTGATATTGGTGATTTGTTTCCTTGTTGGGACAGGATATGTTTTAATAAGTTCGAGGTAAATGTATTACATCGATTCGTGAAATGTTATATGAAGTATTTTTAGGTTGGGGATACGCGAGAGATAAAAGATTAATTTTTATTTAATGGATGGGGATTTTAATTTTTTAGGATAAGATATATTGGTGTAATTGATATAATTGATTTGATTTTTCCAGAGACGAGAATTCAGTTTGGTTTCTATATCAATTTGAATCGATCAATCGCATATTGGTGATTAAAATTTATTCGGTCGTTTATTCAGAAATTTGATAAATTTCGAAAGTATTTTTTTATCGATATATAAATCTCTCGATTAAATTTCTTCTTGGTATTAAGTCGTATTCGTCGAGTCGATTGCTAAGTAACTGATTCGATAACGGTAAATTATCGTTCCCTTCGTAATATCGACAATCTTTCATCAACTACGTGGCATTAAGCGCATAACTTATTACGGACAAATGAATATAGTGGCGTTCTTTATGATCAAAGGAAGATAAATTTCCTGCGGCATAATAAATAACATCCTCATCTAAACGCGGATGAAATTGCCCCATTGCCCATCAAAGTTTCCGGAAATTGTTAAAAGATGCATCTTTAACCAACAACTTTAATGCTCCTTCCAAATAACCATCCCCCTCCCGTAACCCTGTTCCCTCTTTCATTCCATGGAAGTATTATTATTATGGATATTTCCAAGCGGACACGTTTATTTTATATGTATTGAAAAATTAATGTGAATGCAATTTTCTAGAAGAAAAATGAATATTACATGGAATGAATCTTTTATCTTTTGCATTTCGTAAAAAATATGAAAATGTGTACAATCGTGAAATGCATAATAGATAAATATTAAAGTTCAGATATATTCAGATAATAACACGGAATAATTTAGAATCTTTATTAAAAAAAATTTCGTTCTCTATTCACGCATGATTTTCAAATTTTCTTTTATATTAAATGAAAAGAATCTTAGACGTATCAAATTTCACATTTCTTTTTTTTTTTTTATTATTATTAAACCTTTATACTCTTATGATTCTTTTCATCTGAAATTCCATAAAATCTTTACACATGGAATCTATTCTTATATATTTTTTTTTAATTTTCTTCTAAAATTTCATTCTTATAATTCGCAAAATTAAAGTATTATATTCCTTCATCTTTTATTCCTTCTCATAGATCGCTATACACTGTATATTTGCATAACCCGATATCTTCGAAAGTTTATATTTATATAGAATTGCATCGAAAATACGAGAAGTCGTAGGAGTGCAATAAAAATATAGAGAGAAGAGAAGAGAGGAGAGGAAAAAGAAGAAAAAAAAAAAAGAAATAAATAAGGAAACGGCAGGGGTCGAACTCTTAGAAAGCTCAGGCTTATTAAAGTGGAAGTTTGCCGCGCTTTTTGAACTCGTCCTCGCGACGACAGCTTCGCTTCAACTTTCTCAAGAAACGAGCCGTAACTCGCGAAACCAATAATACGCCCTTAATCTCTTTTTCATCCGGCCGTGGTGCTTCGTCGTTTTTCTTCTCTTCCTTCTTCTTCTTCTTCTTCTTCTTCTTCTTCTTCTTCTTCTTCTTTTTCTTCTTCTTCTTCTTCTTCTTCTTCATCTTCTTCTTTTTTCTTCTTCCTCTTTCTCTGCAACTCGTCGTACTCACCGTTGTCAGAAAAGTTTCGAACGTGGAAGCTGGTGGATCGCGAACGCGATTTCATGCCTCCACTTTCTCAGCTTTTCGATATGAATCGCTCTTTGTGTCAATATCGACCGAGTATTTGACTCTCGAGTAACAGTTGCTGGATTTTGTCGCTTATTCCAATCATTTTTTTTTTTTTAAATCGATGATCGAAGACGTTCAATCATAGAATAATTTAATAACTGATAACTGAGAAATTGAATATTGAAATAAAGAAAAATTAAAGAAGATTGGTCACTTTGAGTTCAATAATTATAAAATCTTTTCTCAATGAGAGATTTTTTCTGGAAAATTCTTTCTTTCAAAAATTAGCAGAAAATGTTTGACAGTGTAATATATAATAAATTTTGCATACAAAGTATGTAGAGCATATATTAATAAAATTGTGTTTGGTCGTTGAATACTTTCTATCGGTATTTAACGAGTAGTATCGTGACGGGAATTATCTTGTTGGACGACTGGGAAGGCGATCGTGATGTAAGTTAATAATCTAGAAGGAATTTAGGAGGTATTTAGAAGGTATTTAGGAGGAATTCATGTGGAATTTATGAGATCTTTCATGTCGTAGAGATTTCTTATGCTCGCTACATTGCTGGAACATGATCATGGCTTGTCCCTATAATTGTTTATGAGACAATTTAATAACTTGCAAACTAATATATTGAATTTTTGAAAGATATTGGCGATGGCAAGTGTACAACTTTCTCTTTAACTTAATAGAATGATAAATGTTCGAGAATAAAATCTTTATTTTTTCCAAAGTGAAATCTTTCTCGTTGATTAGATTTCTTTTTTCCTTAAAAAAGAAGCTAATCAAATAATTAATGAGCATCTCCATCGAAAATTTATGTTATTCTCCTTCCACTTAATATGAATGTATAAAAAAAAAAATCCACTTAATGGAAGCGAAGAGCGCAATGATTTTACAGATAAGCCTGAGATTAAGAGATCTTGCGAAACTGGAATGGAACGTTGGTGTTTCCCGTGCAAATATTTATAATGAATGTAATATCTAGGAGCAATTTTAACCACGTGGTTGAGGAAATTAATTTACATACAAGGTTCTGCACATCTCTCCCTTAAAAGTAACAAGAATTTAATATTGCCCAGGCAGAGCTGCACCTTCTA